CGTACTTCGAATCTAAATGAAGAACTAGGTATGGTTGATACAATTCTATCCGATAAGACTGGAACATTGACGTGCAACATGATGGAGTTCATCAAGTGTTCAATTGCTGGTACTGCCTATGGTCGGGGTGTCACTGAAGTTGAGAGAGCTATGGCTATGAGGAAAGGTGCCAGGTTAGATAATGACATTGAAAATGGAGACCACAAAGATGAAAAAATTGACAACAGTCCCCATGTTAAAGGGTTCAATTTCAAGGATCCACGAATAATGGATGGGAAGTGGATTCATGAGCCTAACAGAGATATGATAAGAGATTTTTTCCGTCTCCTAGCCATCTGCCACACATGCATTGCGGAAATAGACGAAAATGAGAAGGTTTCATATGAAGCTGAGTCCCCTGATGAAGCTGCATTTGTTATTGCAGCAAGAGAACTAGGGTTTGAGTTTTACAAGAGGTCGCTGGCAACTATAATTGTTCGTGAACGGGATCCAAGTCAAAATGTTGTTGAGAAAAGGTAAGTCAAATTTCTTTGCTCTTTCCTCTATGGATTATCCTTACTTAGTACCCAATACTGATCCTTTTACATTCTGGTACAGAAAGTATGAACTCCAAAATATATTGGAGTTCAGTAGCTCAAGGAGGCGGATGTCTGTGCTAGTCAAGGAACCAGAGGGAAGGATATTACTTCTCAGCAAGGGCGCGGACAGGTTAGTGCTCTATTTACGCTAGATTTCCATGTTTTAGTCGCATATCATCTTCAGTGGTCTGCTTGTGTCCATGATTTCTTAATCGTAGTCTCTGTAAACAGTGTGATGTTCAAAAGACTTGCACCAAATGGAAGAAAATTTGAAGAAGAAACAAGAAGACACATAAATCAGTATTCTGACTCTGGTCTAAGAACCTTGGTTCTAGCATACCGTGTCTTAGATGAGAAAGAGTACAAGGAATTCAATGAAAAATTGAATGATGCCAAAGCATCTGTAAGTGCTGATAGAGATGAAAAAATTGAGCAGGCTGCTGATAGCATTGAACGGGACTTGATTCTTCTTGGTGCTACCGCAGTTGAAGATAAGCTCCAGCAAGGGGTATGCCTTTTTGTGGATAAGCCTTTCTGTTCCGCATCTTATTTTTACGCTTTCTAGAGAACCTTGCCTGTTCATGTACTCATGTGCACGTACATATTCAGGTGCCTGAATGCATAGACAAGCTTGCACAAGCCGGAATTAAGATATGGGTCCTGACAGGCGACAAGATGGAGACGGCAATCAATATTGGGTAAGCATTATATGCCTGCATCGAAGTAGGAACTTTTTATTTCAACCTGACTATTTCCTTCTCTGATTGGTGAGCTTCCCATCTGCAGGTTTGCATGTAGCCTGCTTAGACAAGGCATGACACAGATAATCGTCACACTGGAACAACCTGACATCATCGCGATGGAGAAAAATGGTGACAAACAAACAATTGCTAAGGTGAATAATTGTTTTCATTACCTGCCTTTTTGAAGCATCAGGCATGTTGCAGTCATTTTACACATAACACTGTTAACGTTGGAATGCCCTATATATACAATTATAGCTCTCTATTGTTTGAAAAAGTAACAAGGCATACATTCACAATTATATTTATTGAGAACCAAATCAATCGATATCATCGTAGTTACATCCTTTTTGTTGGCTCTCCAGGCATCAAAGCAAAGGGTTATGGGTCAGATAGAGGATGGAATCAAACAAATTCCACCTTCAACTCAAATTAGCACTGCATCATTCGCACTAATCATTGATGGTAAATCACTAACTTATGCTTTGGAAGATGATGTCAAGTTTAAGTTCTTGGATCTTGCTATCAAGTGTGCATCAGTGATATGTTGCCGATCTTCACCAAAACAGAAGGCACTGGTCAGATTTCTTTCTATTCTTAAGTTTCCGTCTCTTTTCTATGTATTTTCAGAGCGTATTCTTCAAGAGCATACATGCATAAACATTTGCAACAATTCCAGGTTACAAGACTTGTTAAACAAGTAACACATAAGGTGACTTTAGCAATAGGTGATGGGGCAAATGATGTTGGCATGCTTCAAGAAGCTGACATAGGGGTTGGCATCAGTGGTGCTGAAGGAATGCAGGTTACTGATTCGATGCTGTATAACTTTTGCTAATTGTGCCCATGATTTCTTTTCTTATTATTTGTTTCTTATGATGTCCTAGGCTGTCATGGCTAGTGATGTTGCTGTTGCCCAATTCCGCTTCTTGGAACGGCTACTTCTGGTGCATGGACATTGGTGTTACCGCCGTATTTCAATGATGGTATAGTTGCCATTTACATTGATTTTAATCTTTTTTTCCACACGGGACGACCCGGAAATTTCATTACCAAAAGAAACAAAATTTAAAAGTACCACAAGTATAATGTTTGCACCACCAAACATTCCAAAAATCAGAGTGATCCTGAGAGCACAATGGTCTCTGGAACACGCCCCAAAACGCTTTCAAACTACATACCAGACACAAATCGGCCATGGTCAGGTTGTCAGGCCCATGTACTCCCACTCCCAACCAGAGATGAAACTAAGACTCCCCACAGACGACGAGCGTAAAAACAAACTAAGTCAACTCATGTGTTGCTTTGGACTTGGACTGCATGCTTCTAATCTCTTGGCCCGAAACATTTATTTTGATCTACTATTCAGGCTTCGTAATTCAAGTCTTTTGATAAAATATTTTTTTGGGATTGATGTGCAGATATGCTATTTCTTCTACAAGAATGTTACTTTTGGTGTCACTATCTTTCTGTACGAAGCATTTGCATCTTTCTCCGGGAAGCCAGCTTATAATGATTGGTTCTTGTCACTCTATAATGTTTTCTTCACCTCCCTTCCTGTCATTGCTTTGGGGGTATTTGACCAGGATGTGTCTGCCAGGCTGTGCATACAGGTACGCCGATATTTAAACAGTTTCGGTAATTAAAATAATTGGAGTAGGCAAATTTAGATATGTTACCTACTTCCCTGTCAAATCTACTTCTACCATATATTTCTGAAGAAAATGTGCTTTCTACCCTTGGGGTAGCGGAAGCTACATAATTTTTTCTGTTGATTAAAAGAATTTTCATGGTATATATGTTTTCAGTTTGTTTAAGAACTATCTTTCTGTTAGTATAAGGGTTTTTTAACCTGTGAAAAATTCCTTTATAAGTACCATTTTTGGGGGTTTTAATTTCCAGTTTCGCTGCCATATTGAATGAATCAAGGAAACACTATCTTTCAAGTTATTTGAAGGCACTCCTTTTGCCTTGAGTTGTGCGCACTCCTTTTGCATTTGTGTTACCTACCTTGTAACTTGCCTTCTGTTCTCTGTTCCTTTGCAGTATCCACAGCTATACCAAGAAGGAGTGCAGAATATATTATTCAGTCGGCGTCGGATACTTGGCTGGATGCTTAATGGTGTTATGAATGCTGTCTTAATCTTTTTCTTCTGCATCACTGCCTTTGAGGACCAGCCATTCCGTCAGGATGGTCAAGTTGCGGGCTTGGATGCTCTAGGTGTCGTCATGTACACTTGTGTTGTATGGGTTGTCAACTGTCAAATGGCGCTCTCTGTGAACTACTTCACCATAATCCAGCACATATTCATATGGGGCAGCATTGCAGTATGGTACCTCTTCCTCTTGGTTTATGGTGCCATAAACCCGAGGTTCTCAACTACAGCCTACATGGTCTTCATCGAACAGCTGGCCCCAGCCCTCTCATTTTGGTTGGTGACACTTTTTGTTGTGATGGCAACACTTGTCCCCTACTTCAGCTATGCCGCGATCCAGATCCGTTTTTTCCCAATGTTCCACAACAAGATTCAGTGGAAACGGTACTTGGGGAAGGCTGAAGATCCAGAAGTGGCAAGGCAGTTGTCATCACGACACCGGACCTCGTCGCAGCAGAGGATGGTTGGTATCTCTGCTCGTCGCGATGGTAAGGCTATGCAAATAACAAGGGAGACAGAGCTAGAAGTTCAGGCGTAGCATTGTTGGTAGATTTTGCGTTTTGTACAGCTTATAGGATATTGTCTCCGGCAAGATGACAGCTGAACTGATTGGAACTTGGGGTGTTCCTGGATTGCTGCTTCTATGATGTCATGGGAGCTGTTCCCGTTCAGATGATAGAGCAAGACCACAGATTGCTTTGATAGGTCACAAGGAGGCAAAGAGAATACCTGCTGTAAAGTTCAATTTTAGGAGTTCAAGGCTTTGTGGTTTTTCTTTTCCTGCTTCTCTTACACATGTAGATGCTTGTAACCAGATTGGTAGAATTTCGTTTTGTGTTTTATTCCTTTTTACCCCCCTTGCCTGCCGTCTCTCAAGTGTATTTTAAACAATAATGGTAAGGCTTCTGATTTGAGTGGCTTTCATGCTTTATTATTTGGAGGAAAGAATCATAAATGGGTGATTTAGAATCATAAATAGTAGTAGTAGTTGTTGTTGTTGTGACTTGGCAAATATGGGGAGGCCACAAAGCTAGTGCATTTGTGCCCTCACTATAATCATTCCTTCACTTGTCCTTGTTCAATTTTTCTAGAAAATAATTATTCTATTGTACTACTTCCCTCTGTTTTAAATTATAAGTCGCTAAATCAAAGCGACTTATAATTTGAAATGGAGGGAGTACTGATTAAGTGGAAGGAAAATGGGCATTTTGGAGGAAAAACACTTTCTATGTGAAAACAACACTTCCTGATTTGATTCAACTGTTAATTGTGGGCCAGCATGGCAAAAACAAATTTGTCTGGAACTAAGATAAATACACGTCTTACTGTATGAAAAGTGAATAAGTGAACCAAGAGGTAAATAAGCTTTATACAGTGACACGAAGAAAACACAAGGTTCAACATTACATGGATTTACAACATTTGTTTTATTTCCGTTCTGTATTATTACCATACTAACCTGCAATTAAGGGCAGCAAAGGAGCAAAGAACTTGAGCCGCTGAGCGCCCGGTCACGTCACGTGTCACGGCTCCGGCAGCGGCAGTGGCGGCGCAGCCGGCTGCTTTGTCTCCGCGGCTGGCACCACTGGGCGGCGCCGGTGCGCGCTCCTGCGCCAGCGCGCCAGCCTGGTGCAGTCGTAGGACTCGTCGGGCCCCTGGGCCTGCGCGGCGCACACCCGGCCGAAGACACAGGAGAGTACGGTGAGGACGAGCACCGCGGCCAGCACCCCGAAGAATGCGCCGACGGAGCCTGATGACCCCGACGAGGCGCCGTGCCGCGGCGCCACTGCAGCTACGCCGCCCGCGCCGGACACCTGGTAGTTGGGCAGCGGCACCGTCGTCGTCGCCGCCGTCATCGGCGTGGTCGGTGTCGCTGTCATGACGGCCGCCATTGTTGATTGCTTGGGCGTAACGTACAGAAGAGAGAGTTGGTGGGTGGTGAATGTGTGCCGCACTTTGAGCTGGGGAAGGAGGAGGGTGGCGGATGCCGTGCCCATGAGGTGAGCAATGAGCATGGGTGGGAGCAGTGAGGCGGCAAAAGTGTCACTTGCTTTTTTCACCTTTCAATTTAGTAGTATATATAGTACTAATGCTTGGTATTGTGGTGGTGTGATGGATGGAGAGGAGAGGATAGGGGAGAAAGAAAATTTAATCAAAGAGGGGAGAAAATTAAAAATGGTTTTGTTGGTCACCTTTAACGTTGAAAGGCCTATTAGTGGGCACGAGAGCATGGAAATGGGAAGAAGAGGAGAGAGAGAGAGAGAGAGAGAGAGAGAGAGCGAGCATGCAAATGCATAATTTGGCTATCTCATGCATGCTTTCATGTTGTTATTAGATTAGATGGATGGTGTCTTAGTGTGTATCTAGGAAAAAGGAAACAACTTGTCTGATCTGATCTGCTCATGACTCGGCAAGCCTAAGAACCATTGGACGCAGAAGAGTCAGAGAGGGAAAAGGCGGCATGATTGGTGTGGCAAATATATTTGAATGGAAACTTCGCTTTACAGCCTGTTCGCTTGCTCATAAACGATTGTAAATTTTCAGTCGAGAACAGTGTTTTTCTCTCACACCAAACCAGCCAGCAGTAAATAATCCACGATACGATACGGCCTCCCGAACAGGCTGTAGGTTTCTCTATTGGCCCAGCGCCGTTTTTTTTCCTAGGGAGCATCATCTTCTTTCGATGACTTGTCTCTACCGGGGTCTTTAATGTGGCAATCAGCACCGTCTACAAATCCTGCTCACCAGCGTAACCAAGGCCTGTTCAGACTAATATCTAGTCTGGTTATCTTTCTTTTAACCTACGCTTATGTTGAGAATACTAGGGTTTGTTTGTCTGTTTATTTGTAGATTAAACAAAATTATGTTGTTATAGCATAGATTAGTTTTGTTTTAACAACAAAAAATGTGTCTCGGTAGTCGGGCCGAGAGGTACAATCCCATTTATCCCTTGTTCATTATGCTGCGTGAAGCAGATTCAGAACATATCAATGACCAAACCACGACCATGAAAAATACAACTGCTGTTAAGCGCCGAGTCTACGGCTCTCCCCATTTTAAAAGGGGTTAAGAGCATCTCAACAGCCCGTCAATACAATTCCTCCAATAAAATAATATTGGGGTAGCCCAATATCATTTTCTAGATTTATTAGAGAGATGCTGCAGCAGTACCTCAATATATCTACCCTAATACTCATATGAAAGGTGGGTCCCACAGGAGTGTAAGAGAAAATATGGCTGAAAAGTGGTAGTTGGAATGATCCCCATTATATTGGAGGAGTTGTATCTCCCCTTTCTTTGACGAGAGATGAGGGAAATATTGGTGGTCATAAAAAAAAGAAATATTGGAGAACTGCTGCAGCAAGGAAAAAAAAACATAGATGTTTCTAATATAACAGTTTTATGAAGATAGAGAAAGATATTGGGAAAATGCTGAAAATGCTCTAGCTAGCTACGACTGTCATGGTACGGTGCTGGCTACGACCCCACGGTGTGATGAGGCGATGGGAGCGTTCCCCAATGCATTGCCATACCTACTGATACACATCTATTCTTGCGAAAATTGCAATTGGCTGCATCAGAGAATAGCAGGTGTGTTTTCTTTTCGCTCTACATTTTATTGGCATATCGAATCCGAACAGGGTTGAGCATTTTATAAGCTTTTCCTGGCAGCAGGGGGCTTAACCCGGCACCGTCCTAAAGCTTAATAAAGTTCAGGTATGTGCCATCATGGCTTGTTGTTGCTTGCTTAATGGGCAAGGTTACCCGCCTTTCTCTTTTTTCCAATCATGCACCCCATATTTTTTTTGGAGCATAAAAATTTAAAAAGTTGTAGGCCACATAGTGATCTCATCTGCAGCCCTGTGTCTTCGCTGTTGGCGAACTAAGCTTTCGCCTCCAGACCCTGCAGGCCACAGTGTGCTCTCTTTCCCCTTTGGTTTTGAGCATGGATAATACTCGCAAGAGTACAAAACATCAAATGAATTTCTTATTGCTAGATACTACTAGCATGTATGCTCGTCCGTTGCTACGAATATATCATCGCTACTCCGTACGTTATAGGTTTAGTCTTACATTATAACCTCGAAGGTTACAGGTCTTTACTGTGCACCTATAAGCTTAAAATTGAAAGGAAAAACATAATTCTTAATCTAAATGAAAACATTGCCGGTAGGACGTCTATCCTATACATCGCTATCGCCAAACTAATTCTTCTCTAGAATAAAGTATCGTCCGTGTTCCTCACCGGTACACCACTATGCCACTATCTCCTCCATCATGATGCCAACCTAGTGCACTATGGGTCCCACTCCCTCTCATCAGAGCCACCTCTATCCACCATGGCCACCGCTAGTTTCTCCGATCATGATGTCCTCACCTTCTTCACTACCCAACCCTCATCTGCCACCACCATAGCATATGGCGCCGCCACCCCCTAACTGTCCCACCCACCATCCGCCGCCACAACTAGGCCGACAACTTCCTAGTCCATCCCTACAGTCGAAGGCCATAAAATCCTCAAATCCCGAACACTAACACGTAACTCACTGAGGGGTAGAATTTGCGGTCATGGGAAATGCAGGTGCGCGCGATCAAAGAGGTTTCGAGAAGGAGGTGAAGCGGAGGGCAGAGGAAAAAGACGAGGTTAGTCTTCTAACATAAGCTAACAGTGTCCTAACCAAATCTATTAATATAACACATAAACTATACATTACAAAACATACACACAACCCGGCGACCCTCCACTCGTACCGGCATGATGCTACTCCTTTCGTCGACGCCTGCCAGTGATCACGCTGTAGGGTCGAGATGGCGACTAGAAAGGGGGTGAATAGTCATTTCTAAATTTAATCGCGTCGGTTAACCGAAACAAGTGCGGAATTAAGACAATCGGTCTAGCCAAGACTATACCCCTCTATCGAAGTTCATAAACATCTTATAAAGATCCTAATTAGACAACAAAGGTGTCGGGCTAGCTAGAGCTCACATATCCAATTTTAGGAGCAAGGTCACACAAACCTACGCCACTAGTATTTCAAGCAACAAGGGAGCTCCTACACATGCTAGTAAGCAAAAGCACAAAGCCATCTAAGCTCACTAGCAATGCTCAATAACAAGGCAACCAATGCCAAATTAGAGAGCGCAAATACTTAGCTACACAAACTAAGCAATGTAACTAAAAAGATTACACAAACCAAATTAGCCACGCAAGGGAGCTACTTTTATGCAGCACAAGCAAGAAGGTAACTAGTGAGCTACACAAACTAACTAATTACAAGAGCAACTATACAAGCACAATGTATATGAAAGTAATTATAAGCTTATATAAGGGAATTGCAAACCAACGGGAAGAACAATGTTGTCACGGTGATTTTCTCCCGAGGTTCACGTGCTTGCCAACACGCTACGTCCCCGTTGAGACAAGCTCCAAGGTTGCCGCCGGTCCTCTTGCTAGTGGTGACCTGCAAGTCACACTCTCCCACGTGTTGTGCTTACCACAAGCTCTAGCACTTGACCCGGCCGGACCACTTGTCGCCCTTCGCGTCTCGCTCTACTAGAGTTGCTCTTTGCGGCTCCCACGGGGCGAGCACAATGCCCCTCACAAAGCTCTTCTCTGGAGTACCGCACAAGCTTTTTGCGGGCTTCGACGGAGACCACCACCAAGACGTCTAGGAGGTGGCAACCTCCAAGAGTAACAAGCACCATCGGCTTGCAACTCGATCACCTAGTGCCATTCGATGCAACCTCACGATGCAATCACACTAGAATCATCCTCTCACACAATTGGATGATCACTATCAAGCATATGTGAGATGGAGGGCTCCTAAACACTCTCAAGCATGGACACAAAGTCCCCCCAAGGTGCTCAACTCCAGCCATGGCCGAGACCCTTTCTATTTACAGCCCCACGGGCTAAACTAGCCGTTACCCCTTTACTGGACATTTTTTGGGACGATCGGACGCGTAGGTCGTGTACACCGGACGCGTCCGGTGTGGCGACCAGACACGTCCGGTCACTCCTTGACCGCCACGTGTCCCATTCAAATGAAATAACCGTTGCCGCCCAATAGCGATCGAATGCGTCCGGTGTGATTGACTGGACGCAGGAGGGGTAGCGTCCGGTCGAGTCCAAAGAGCTCCCAGAGCCGCTCAACTGCGACCGGACGCGCCTGGTCACACCGGACCGGATGCTCCCAGCGTCCGATCAATTATTGCGCAGAAAACCCGAGACTTGCTGGCGACCGGACACGTTCGGTCGGTCTCTGCAATCCTGTATCGGGCTATATCACTTTGACCTGACGCTGAACAGTAACCCGTCAGCGTCCGATCACTCCACTGAGCCAGAGTCCGGTCACCTCGGCAACTCTGCCTGCGCCTGGCCAGAATACCAGACGTGTTCGGTATAGATATCAGATGCGTTCGGTCACGTCGGATGATACCAGACGCGTCCGGTCCTCATATCGAACGCGTCCGATCACCCCATGACCAGTGCATGCAACTCCTTTTCTTCATCAACTTCTTCTCCTTTGCAAATATGCCAACACTACCAAGTGTACACCACCTTGTGCACGTGTGTTAGCTTTTCACAAACATTTTTAAAAGAGTTAACCACTCAACTTGCCGCGCCACTCGATCCTAGCAACGATGCAAAGTTAGATCATTCGAGTGGCACTAGATGACGAATATGCAAACAAGTTTGCCCCTCTTGATAGTACGGTCATCTATCCTAAACCCGGTCATTAACTTCTCTACACACCTATGACCGGTGAAATGAAATGCCCTAGGTTATACCTTTGCCTTGCACATTCCATTCCATCTCCTTCAATGTTGGTGCAACACATGCACCAACACGATCAACAATGATATGATCCACTTCATATCATCACGTGAT